CTAAGCGTCATCAAGTGTTTTCCGTAAGTGAAGAAAACTCTTCATACAGAAAAGGAGAAAGTAGAAAACCTGAACAGTTCAAAATAGCAGTAAAGCACAGCCTTTCTAAACAGTACTTTTAAGATGAATAGGCAGCGGCATGTGCTCTGAATGTTAATCGTCCTTGATGATTGATCTAAAGAGTTACTGTAATTATTAACGCAGGAGTGTGGATTTACACCTTCAGTTGTCAGCTATGGATGTTTGATGAACCTCTATATCAAGGTGGGTTACTCTTCTTGCTGTTAGATCACTCAGAATCTTCCTTACGTTTAACTTGTTAAGTTGCTTCATACTTACAGGAAAAAAAACTTGCAGAATTTTCTTCTTTTTATATGTTCTTTTTTCTCACACTCTTGGTCTGATATCTGTAGCATAGACCATGCAGATATAGGCAATTGGCACTTTAAGAATAATTGAGTTTAGATTCGGACTTCTGCTCTCAGTTTAACATGTCAGATTCTTCCTTCAGAAAAGCCAAGACTCAACAGTGTGGAAGGCTTTTACTTGTGCTAAACAAATAAAAATTTAGCTACTATTCAACCAGCAAGAACCCTTTATTTGGGGGTTGCCAACTAGTGTATATCAAGTCAAAGTACTAAATTGGATAGCCTGGTCATATTAGCTCTTCGCTTCTTTTCCATTTCAATCAGTCCATCATTCTTCAGTCGACTAGGCTTTATTCCAAACTAGTTAGGGTCTGCAATATGAAATCTTTGGGCCATTTGAGCATATAATTCTAGCTACTACTCACAACTTGATATTGTTTATAAGTCATATAACAACTTCTTTTGTTCATCTGAATTTCGTATAATTGGTGTTAAACCATTGCAGATTGGTAAGGTATCCAAAGCTTTTGAGGTCAGTGAAATGATGAAATTGGCTGGCATAAAGCATAACATGAAGACATATTCCATATTGATGAATGGATTCATAAATTTGAAAGATTGGGCTAATGCTTTTGCAATTTTTGAGGATGTAATAAGAGATGGTTTGAAGCCAGATGTGGTACTTTATAATAACATTATCAGAGCATTTTGTGGCATGGGTAACTTGGATCGCGCCTTACGCATTGTTGAGGAAATGAAAAAGGAGAGGCACATGCCAAACTCGCGGACATTTATGCCAATCATTCATGCCTTTGCAAAAGCTGGAGAAGTAAGAAGAGCACTTGACGTTTTTGATATGATGAGGAGGAGTGGATGCATTCCAAGTGTTCACACTTTCAATGCTTTAGTTCTTGGCCTTGTTGAGAAGCGTCAGGTAAATGACTGAACCATATATCGAACTATTAGAAATGGCTTCATCTATGCCACTGCTGTTATAAAAAGGGTTCATTCGTGCCATTATTTTTTAACAGAAAATATATCGAGTTTTGCAAAATCATTTATGCCATGTGGCCTCTTATTAAAGGTCCACATCACCCAATTAAAAAGACTCAATATTTAATTAAAATCTAATGTAACATTGGACCCATTCAAATATAACCCGACCCACCCCTAATCCATTTCCTTTTGCCCAACCCACATCCCAACCCATTTCCCTTTTTTTCTCTCCCACATTTTAGATTGATCAGATAGCAACAAAAAAAAAAAAGTCAAAGAACCCTATTGGCATCTGCAATTTCTATTCTGAAAAAATGCTGTGCTTATGCAAATGCTTTTCCTTAGCTCCTTATTTGTTAACTTTATCTAACTTGATACAGATGGAGAAGGCTGTACAAATTTTAGACGATATGTTGCTTGCCGGCGTTAGTCCAAATGAGTACACATATACAACCATTATGCATGGTTATGCATCTCTTGGTGATATTGGAAAAGCTTGTGAATATTTTTCAAAAGTTAAAAATGAGGGTTTAGAGCTCGACATATATACATATGAGGCGTTACTCAAGGCATGCTGTAAATCAGGCAGGATGCAAAGTGCTTTGATGGTGACAAAAGAAATGAGTGCCAAAAGCATCCCTAGGAATACCTTTGTTTATAACATATTAATTGACGGGTATGGTTAGATTTACAGTTGATGTGTACCTGTTTATCATACTGCTTTCGTTAGGATCATAGCTTACATTTTATACTTTAATAAACTTAGGACCATCACTCAATGGAACAAAAACAGAAGGAAAGCATGTCGATTAGCATAATTTAAATTTCCACTTTCCCTACTCTCCAGAGGTTCTTCTGTTCATGCTTGCCTTTCTTCTTACTAGACCATGATTCTCCTCCTTTCTTCTGTATTTCTTGTTGATGCAGATGGGCTCGACGAGGTGATGTCTGGGAGGCTGCTGACCTGATGCAACAGATGAGACAAGAAGGAGTTCCACCTGACATCCATACATTCACGTCATTCATAAATGCTTGTTGTAAAGCTGGAGACATGCAAGTATGTACTTGATGATAGTTGTCTTAATGCCTGTGGTGAATATGTTGAAATCATTTGTTACTTCGTATGCTGATCAATAATTAAAGCGGAGCAACTATTATGCAGTGAAACAACAATTACTACTACGCCCCAAGTTATTTGAGATATATTTCATCCACATGACATGAGTTAGCAACTTATGGTCCTAATAATACTTGGCCTGCAAGGTTTATTTGCATCAGATGCTTTCAGGAATTTGATTTTAGCTGCTTTTCGTTATCTTAATTGGTCTTTAAATCGTGGCTTTTCTTAGCAAACAAAATTATGCACTGTTTTATTTTATTACAAGTAATAACCAAAAGATTCTGATCAATGCTTTCATGTGGTTTACAGAGAGCAATGAGAGCAGTTGAAGAGATGGAAACTGTTGGGATCAAACCTAACTTAAAAACCTATACCACTCTTATACATGGTTGGGCACGGGCTTCTCTTCCCGAGAAGGGTTTGAAATGTTTTGAACAGATGAAGCAGTCTGGTCTGAAACCAGACAAAGCTGTATACCACTGTTTAATGACATCATTGTTGTCAAGGGCGGCATTTGCTGATCAAGATTACATTATAACGGGAATCCAACATGTTTGTGAAGAGATGGTGGAGTCTGGATTGACTGTTGATATGGGAACTGCAGTTCATTGGTCCAAGTGCTTGAGAAAAATTGAGAGGACTGGTGGTGATATAACAAAATCGCTTCAAAAGACCTTCCCGCCTGATTGGGGTTCTCACCGAACTCTTAATGCAACATCAAATGACAATGAGAATGAGGAAGGGTCAGACAGTGGTGACGATGAACGTAGTTCTTTTTATGAGGTAAAGAAATGCTAACAATGATTCAGATTTCTATAAGGAGGCGTTGGCATAATCTTTATCAGCCTAGTTGCTGCTTGTGCCCAAGAGTCCCTAGGTGTGTATATGGAATTTTGACACTAGTTTGGCTTGATCAAGATTGTTTTATTTTATCGTAAACAACTTCTCTATTTCTACGAGGTAGGGGTAAGGTCTATGTACACTCTACCCTTCTCGAACCCTGGGTATGTGATTGTTTGGCTTGATTAAAATTGTGCAATTTATTCCATATTCTTGAATTGTAAATGTCTCTTTTTGGTTTAGACTTGAAGTAGCTAAAGGGATTAGTTTTGGATGTACAAATATGTATTAAATCTGTAACTTTTGTTAAATGCACATTATTATTTTGCAATTTTCATTTTTTCTTGTAATCAGATTTTATGTATCACTATCAGCACAACAACATATTTGGTATAATTTCATGGGCGGGATTTGAGTAGGGTAGAATGTAGGCAGACGTTACTCTTATCTTAGAGTTGTGGAGGTAGTGGTTGTTTTCGGAAGACTCTCAAATGAGAGCAGACGAAAAATGAAAATGAAAATTTCTTGGAGGTAGAGGCTGTTTTTGAACTCTCAAATAAGAGATTTGAGTAGACGAAAAATGAAAGAGAACATCAACAACATATTTGGTATTAACGGGTGGGATTTGAGGAGGCTAGAATGTAGGCAAACGTTATTCCTACCTCGAGTAGACGAAAAAAAAGGAATTCCGTTGCCGGGACTTGAACCCGGGTCTCTCGGGTGAGAGCCGAGTATCCTAACCAACTAGACTACAACGGAATTGCTACTTCAATTACATTTCCACATCCAAACCCAGAGAATACTGCAAAACAAACCATAAGTTGGATAAAATTATTCTTTTTTCTGACCATATAGATACTCGTTAGCTATGGCGGAGACATGATTTTCACTGAAGGGTTCAACATCTATTGTCTATGGATAAACAAAGGTTTTTGATCCAGTATATACTGTGATTTTTTCAACAAAAGGAATTTATTCTTTAGTTTTGCCCCTGCATATAAGAAATGTTGTGAATACATGTCAAGGGCGGGGAACTAGTAGTTTTTGTTTAGAGCTTCCGTATACAATGAGATTGTTATAAAAACTCATAAACTTTAAATTCTGAATCCGCCTCTATAGTTCAAAACCTCAAAGTTATCATTAACAGGCACTGAGGACGATGTGGAATAAATGAGGATATTTAATGTTTTATGTTTTCTAAAGAGTCAACGTTCAACGAAGGCAAATTAAGGGCTGCCACGTGTCCCGTGAACTGCTATCAGTGTAGTTGAATAATAAAACATTGTTTTAGTTGTTGAATTAAAAGCTAATTACAATTATCTCTTTAAGCATACAAAGTAATTTGGACTTAACTTTCTAACCAGACTTAATGCACTTTTTTCTATCCATGTTATATTTATACCTTTTTTTTTTATTTGAGTTGTTCCCTTTTCCCCTTCAAAAATTTCTTGGAATTAATCAAATTTATTCAATCCAAAGTGTTTCACGAGGGAATTCATTGATACGCCTAAATCAATCCGCGCAATAATCAAAAAACTAAAAGGTTTATGTTACCCTCTTTATTCTTGTTGATACAATCCCGTTTTATATTCACCATGAATGCATACGTATGGAGAATATTGTTAAATTGTTGAATTATTGTCAAATACTGAAATGTCAAGGAAACACTATGAACATTTAGGACCAAAAAATAACTCTTTAAGAACAAACATCAAAAGGTTTTGCTGTACAAAAGCATACAAAATATAGACAATATTTAATACAAGCACCACATTTTTGGACAAGAGATGTGACAAAACTATAATACTGGGACAGATTCCATAATCATATACTGAACTGCTCTATACAGAATGCTCTTTAAAAGAAAAAGAACTTTTTATTGCATCTTGTAGATTCTGAACATATCGGTAACGAACGGAGTTGAACCAGAAGGCTGTCATCAACTAGTTGTAGGAAATCAATCATGTAGCAACTGTATCAGCAACGGCAGAGGAGAGGATAGTGCATAGAGCATAGCTGTGGTTTACCGTTTGGGCTCATTAAACGTCTTACCCTCGAAGAATTCACCCAGCATACGGTCAAGATCTTCAGCTGAATATCTGATGTACTTTTGGGCGTTTTTACCACTCTCAACCAAAGGCCTGTCATGCAGGAAAAGAAAGCATTTGACATCATCTCAACTTTCATAAGGAAAGCACTCCTTATGTTCCATTTTATCTAACTATTTCGGGAGTCAAAACAGTTTAAACGGTTTCTTCAACCATCTTTTACACATTCGTGATCTATATTACTCTATGTACTTTCTAAGTAAATTTTATTCGGGGAAGTGTAAAGAATGGATTTTTACCGGATTAGAAGGTTATATTCTTCTACTAATGCAACTTACTTGGAGAATGAAACAAACGAACTATTTCTGCTTCAAATATTTGAAACATTTCAAGTGACCAAAGAACTTTCTAGCTACATCGTGTTGGAGTTCACAGAAAACAAGCATGCAAGAGAGAAATGATAGCAAAATCAAATTAAACATACCCAAAGCGTTTAATGAAAGATCTGTATGCAGGCAGCAAAACTTCAGCGACCGCAAGCCTCAATGACTCTCGCAACTCAGTATCTGGAACAGCCCATTGAGATTGCCTTTGATGAAGCTCTTCAAACTGCGCATTGAACATCTTGAACCTGATAAAGAGTAACAAGAAGTTTTCATACCAGAAACAAGATTAGATCATGACTGTCAATAGAAGTTCATAAAATAATTAACCTGAGAACCTACCTTTCTTTTACAGTGGATCTTGAAACTCCACTGCTATTTTGTCCATCTACACCACTAGAACTACTGCCTCCAGATGATGTTAGACCTTGAATCGATAGAGATTGAAGGATCTACTCAAGAATAAAACAAGGTATTGATTAGGACAATCATAGGCAAATTTCATATTTTATGTAAACTGTGATCATGCTCATGGCATCACATAATTCCACCATCTGGAAAAAATTAGACAGCTCAAAAAGAGCAGGAAATTTGCACGAAATTTGGATTAAAGAGGCTACTACAATTTCTTTAACAAGTGAAAGCAAGGCAATCATCACTCTAACTGAGACCATAATCATAGACAAAAAATGAAGAAGTGAAAAACAGCATAATCAGAAAGACTAATGCCCATTAAAATTATCACCAGAAAAAACAATCCATTATGGTACTGAAATTAACTTGACCTTGACTTGGAGAAGCTCTAATATGATTAACTTAGTTCAAAAATTAAGATTTGAATTCGTCCCCTCCCTTCCTTAACCCCTCTACCCCCACCCCCTACACAAAAAATTTCCCATTTTCTTGAGGCAGAGAATGGAAAGGAGGGTAAAGCGAGATGAGAAATACCTTCGCCCAAGCAATTCTTTTATATTGATTTGCATGTTGCTGTACAACTCTCCGGTGTCTTTGCACCCAGTCATCCCCTAATAAGTCTTTGGCTTCAGACCTAAAAGCAACAAACGATAAGCACCCTAACATAAAGCAATACATACAATAACCTTTGAGGTCTTCACCCTGATGTATATTAGTTCAACAAACCTGCGGACTGATCTGACCATATAGTGAATATTGTTCATAAGGAACAAGTGAGTCAGAGCAGAATCCTTATACTGCTTAGATTTTCCATCCAAATTGGTTTGAAGAGCCTGCATTATACGCATTGTAACAGCAGCTAGCTGAGAATTCGAATCTCCTCCATTTTCAAATTCTTGGAATAGTTGTTTCAATGTTGATTGATAGCTGGAAAAAAATGTGCAACTCGTCAAGGCAATTATATCAACAAAGACTGACACTTTATCTACAAGGTGTTCCTTTCCATAAGAAGAAAATATAGAGGATTCCAGTGGTTGATTCCAACTGATTTGGAAGAAGCTTAGTTGATTGATATCACCTCATTCCATATACCCTTTTCAGTCTCCAGAACTTTTGCATAATATAAACCTAAAACCTACGAAGTCCGCAATTCCCTGGGAAGAAATTATAGGAATCGATTGCCCTGATAGTACACAGTAATTGCCCAATTAGTATAAATCTTTCTCAAATCTGACATTATTAATCTCCCTGACCAATTAACTCAACTCCTATCTCATTTGATTACCTGAGATCTGAATTATGCAACCCACTGACTCAGGAACTTATTACTATTGTAAGGCAACTGTTCCCCAAGCTTTACTATATGCCACAGCCACAGTCATCCTCCAATTTCCACTAGTAGCACCTCTCATCTGACAATGCCTATTAATCGCTGAGCTTGAACACCAAGCTTATTCATCTTCAGGTGTCTCCTTTTGATAAATAAATTTCCCCCCATATGTAAGGTGTAAACTGAATGCCACTTAAAGCTATGAAGTAGAAACAATTTAGACATAACTCAATCTATCCATACTAACGGGTATATCAGGTGAGTAGCAAAGTATAAAAAATGGAAAAAATAATAATGTGCTAATTGTTTGTTCTCTCTGTGCTTAGCACTAACATGGCAGCAGCATGAGGGACAAGACTGCATACTCCATTTGTTTCTCATAACATAAATGTTAAGTGAAGTTCAGGTCTAGAGGATGATCAAAATGCAGAGAGAGAGATTGAGAGGGATTCAAAGAGCTCAACCTGTGGCAAAAGGTGGAGGATTTGTGGCTTAGGTCGCAGGTTCAAGCCCCACACCATGCAAAGCGAAGCCCGGTATTTAAGTGGAGAAGGGTAGAGGGGCGGGCCCATTATCCACCGAGTTTAGAAGGCTGTGATTGGTCCAAAGGGCGGGTCACATACGGATTTCTCGGTTATCAAAAAAAAAAAAAAAGAGCTCAACCTGTGCTCTCTGAATTGAAACAATTGAATAAATGAAAATGTGTGTGGTGGTGGTGGTGGTGGGGGGGGGGTGGATCCTTTGAATGAAAAATGTTCTACTTAACCAGAAACGTCTTCTCTTTTTTATTTTGGTTTCCCACCCGGTACCCTGCATTAGGGTCCGACTAAATCTAGATTCGGTATTGCAGGGCCCATTTCTGAGGGCAGCGCTCCCTACAGAACTTTTTCCATTCCCAAGGCCTCGAACCCAAGACCTCTGGTTAAGGATGGAAGGATCCCAACCATCCCACCACAACCCATGTTGATAACCAGCAATCTCTACCACTAATAGATCAGTTACCACTAACCTCCTAGCTTAACCACCTAACAAACTTCTTAAATTAACAAGGACTACTTGCTGCTATTTACAAGGCATCACAAATATAGGTATAAGCAGATACAACTGGCTGTCATTATAGCATTCCTCATCTACAAGAATAAAGATCCCCACAGCTTCACTGTAACTTAAATTCGAACTCTGAACAAACAAAACAAAAACATTCTGTAACCTTGCAGTCGAGCAAAATTTGGTTTAAGGTCTTTCCTAAAATATATGTTAATCCAGTTGGTATGTGAATCCTCAAAACCTTAAAGACTCTTCACGTTAACCCTTGTGCCCAAATTTGTGGTTAGTGTTATACAATTCTCTATTTATGAATCTTGAGGCCCAAGTTCCAACATAGCTGCGACAGTTCTTAGTCTAAGAAGTTACAACAAACCAGTTCCTTTGTGTTTCTTTATTGTATCATGAATATGATGAAACTTATTTATCCACCCTCGAAACTGAAAAACAAAAGAAATCCACAGCTTATCCAGAAACCATGGCAATTAGAGTAATTTTTATCTACAGTTCGCTAGCACAAACGTTCCTATTATGGCACATTAAGGAGTCCTTGGGACACCCCGCTTGATGGTAATCATATAATTTAGTGAGGAAGACATGGTAAACCAGTAATATCCCCTTGGAAGAAGGAAGCTATTATCTGACATAGTTTTCATGCATACATGGAAGAAAAAAAAACACATTATGTAGTTGAGTGAACTTACTCAAACAGGAACTTCACATAATTAATCACATAGCTGGTCAAGGGATGGACAGTTCCATCTGAGACGGCAGTTTTGGTTGCATCTTTTTCAACTGCTTCTTCAAAATCACCAAAGGTTTCTTGGGCTGTCAGGGCAAGTTGCTTTGTCAAACCAAAGGCAGATTCCCTAATTTCATTGCACGCTTTACCTATGAAAAGTGATTCAATCTGCAGAAAGACGCAATATCTTCATCTTATATACAGACCAGAAGGCTAGAGAAAGATTCTACGAACTCCTTAGTTTTATTTTTTGGGTAGGTTCTACAAAATCCTTAGTTGTAGAGCTCAAACTATACATTGTTAGTATATAAACCACGAAATTTAATAGCGGTCGTCTGTTTGCTCTTTTCCGGTATTCCATGTAGGCATAATATAATGAATCAAATGCTTGTTTGCTAGTATGTCTCATACCTCTGAATGAAGTTCCCGCATTATTTCATACATATCTAGAAGCACAAATAACTTCTCAGGTGATCTTTTGCTCTTTGCAATTGCATCACCAAAACTAAGCAACACAGCAACACTTGCAGTAGTAACTTCGGCAAAACATTGGTCATTGAGTGAATCAAATCCTTCAAGAATTTGATCACACACCTTACGTTCACCAGCAAATAACAGTTTGACCTGTTCAATTGACCATATGAAAGTCAGAGGGAAGCTTTAATTTACTTCCAGGGGCATTAGAGAAAACTTACAGCAATTCGCATAAAATGAATCCAATTTCCAATTTTAGCTTCCAGAACTTCCCATTGCATCTTCTGAACATCATCTTTGCTAAGTTTTTCCACTCCCAAATTGCGAAGACTTTCTTCCAGTACGGGAGAACGTGTATCCCTATTGAGACATTTATAAATCAAAAGAATAAGAAAAGGAATGAAATGAAATGAGGAAAGGAATCTATAGCACTTCAAAACACATCGTTGCAATGTGAGTGTAAAATTTACCAAGAAACTACTACTTATGCTAAACAATAAGAGCACAGCCAAGAAATTTGTCCTAAAGTCACAGCTTTACACTCCTCACCTCAGTCTCTCTCTATGTAAATAAAAGAGTTCACTGAATGAAAAGGTACTTAAACCACAACTACTTATTTCCTTCTACTCTTCTATTCCAGGGGGGTTCAATATGAACAAAGTTGAAGCAACTAAAAGGTCTTCCATCTTGCCAGAAAAGGGCATCATAGTATTTCACCTTTGAACTCCAAGTTAAAGGTGGAATGAGTTATATTATAAACCTTTTTTTTTGATAAAGTAAAGTTGTATTCCTCAGCAATGAGGGTATGCTGGCAACCATCAAAAAGATTTACATCAGTGACCCAAAAAAGACCAACGCAAGAAATTGCTACTAAACTTATAAAGAAGAGAAAAAATTTTAAAATCTGTCCAGCATCCTCTATACCCTCCTCATTACACCAAAAAACGGAAGGTCTTCATACAACGCCATTTGATCTTTTGTACTGATTCTGCAGTTATTTTCCATACACCTCTTGTTTCTTTCTCTCCAAATAGTCCACCATATACAGGAGGGTATCATGTTCCACCATTTCTTCTGGCTCTTACTCCCACTCTTCTCACCCAGCAACTAAGAAGGTCTGCAGTGTGTTTCTGGCATTGTCCAGTTTGTGTGTGTTCTGCTTAGAAAAAGGGTCCATAATTGAGCAGTGACTTTGCAATGGAGGAATAGATGGCTATTAGTCTCATTTGTCTCATTACACAGTGAACACCAGGAAGCTATTTCAAAGCCTCTTCTTTGCAGCTTCTCATGAGTTAGGCATGCCCTTCTAGCCACTAGCCACTAGCCACTAGCCACTAGCCATGAGAAACACCTCACGTTAGTTGGCACTTTATTTTTCCATACCTTACTCCATGGTCCAGAGATTTCCCCTGGAAGTTCCTTTACTTTCCTATTGTACAATCTGCTGACTGACAACATACCATCATGATTGTGTTTCCAAATCATTGCATCAACTTCCAGATTTGTGCCCTTGAAATCATCTAGTGTTTGTAGCATCTCGGCTACTCTCCCTATCTCCCAGTCATTTAGTAACCTTCTGAAGCTGAAATTCCACCCTTGTTCAGACCATACCTCATCGTAACAACACAGATTTACCAACTAGACTAGACTATTTGAGATTTCGAGCAAGACTGAATATTAGGAAGCTCTTCCGCTCACACACAATTGTTTTCAGTCAGCTTTTCTCCTTTTATTCCAGTCATCCTCGTAAACCAAAAGTGAGCTTCCTGGAGACTCCACCACCACCCATGTATGCACTATTTCGTTTGCTTTCTGCTGAGTTCTATAGAGTATTTAGATGTCAATGAGTAATTAAATCTTCAACCTGGCACATAGTTTTCATTTCATACCTAAGAATGAAATGGGCCATTTGGCTTGAGAAACTGTTGAAGTTCAAGGCTTGAGTTTAGCAGTTTCTAACCATGTCCAGGATTATCTTGCTTTGACAAGACAGTACACAGCCCTAAAATATCCCGAATAGGAATGAGAATGAAAAGATGCACATATGTACATGGTATTGTATTCTACACATAAAAGTAAGCATCTTTACTGCTTTTGTTCTTGTTACTCCAGCATAAGAATATTAAAAGCCATAATAACCACATTGATGAACAACCCATTATTTACTGTATGGGACATTTAAACTTCTACAACAAGCAGAAACTGTATCAACTATATATGAGTTCAACTCCAGACACTGACAAAGCATTCAGGCAGTTACCTCATCTTAAGCTTCACCTATTTCTCTGCATGAACTGCTTAATAGAGAGAAAGACTTCAGCTTTTATGCCAGTAGATTGATTTTTAATCCAGGATATTATACAATGAGTAAACATTGCCTGTACAAGATCACATAGTTCATAGTTAAAAATAGATATTTACCTGTATATTTTTACAAATTGTTGTTGGTGGCCAGCTTGAACCATCTGTTGGGCTAAATCATGTAGTAAAGGCAGGATCCTTGGAGGTATAAGGGTTGGCGGTGTGAAGACAGTGTTTTCTGCACCATTTTGCTCAGCATTACTATTGGACAGATGACTCTTACCACTAGGGTCCTGGTGTCCAGGTGATGACGGTGGTCGCATTGAATTTGGGAGACACTCAAACAGCCGATCAGGTTCAATGGGTTTACTGAAAATGTTAAATTCAGATTTAGTCAAAAAGCTCCATTGGAAGGTCATATAGCAGTATATGGATGCATTTCTACTTCAATTCGGAAGCCTCCATTGGAGTACTGAAGGTTAAGAACATCAGCAAGACATAGGATTTTATAACTGATAGCAGAACAAGGACACTCCTCACAAAAAGTGCCTCGAATCTCAATCCCAAAAATAGTACTACAGCATAATCACAATTTACAACCCACATAAAGGCTAACTTAAAGAGACTGAAACAACCATTTTAAATTCCTTATAGGCTTTTTATTATTTTATAAGGATTCAATTATTTGATGGTTATACTCACCAATCTTTACCAGAAAGATAGGAGAAAACTACAATTCCAATCAATGTTGATACTTGAATCACAAAACAATCATAAAATTACAAATAGGTTTCCACAGAAGTCCTGCCGTGAATGAATTTACATGAAAAATATCTAGAAAACAAGATAAGAATGAACTACAGAGTACAGAACAAGGTTTCAAGTCTACAAAAAGAATATGATGAAAACAGTAAAAATGTCAGCAAACCTATAAGATAACAAGAGCTGCTTAAACTCCTCTTCGAGCTTTGAAATAGCCTTGGTCAGCAAACTATTAGCATGATTGAGCACTCCATCACTACTTTTGAAGCTTTTGTTGTTGCTGAAGAAGCGAATATTGTCTCTCAGCTGGTCAATTGCTTGAAGATAACTTTCCAGGTCCTCATGTGGCCCTTTAAGTATTTTAATTTCCGCCTAAAATGAAGGTACCATTAATTAAGAAGTTCTAATTAAAGTAAGGTGCATTTAAGACCAACTTAAGTGATAAATTTATCACAAAGAAAACAAGGATACATTGCACCTAATAAAGACAAAAAAAAAAGACTACAATTTTGCAATGGGATTTTTTTTCACTTTCTCCGGCGAACTCAAATTCAAGTCTGGTCACTTCTCCGGTGAATTTAAATTCAAAAACTGTTAGAGAATCATAAAGTTATATGTTTCCTTGTATATAATATTCTAGTTGATTCTTAGGGATTTAGATATTTAGTTACCTTAGTCTTTTCTTTACCTATATTTAAATCATTGTCTTCTTTGGATAATACACATTGAAATTACTCCATACTTTCGTTTCAACATGGTATCAGAGCCAAGCTTGTAGCTTCAGCTGCGTTAGCCTTGCCTAGTCAGAGTTGAGTCATCTCCATAGTCGGGAGGCAATGTTGCTTAGCTAGAAGTTAAGAGTGTTGGTGACTATTTCATTAAAATTAACCTCGTGAGTCTCACGTTCCAGTGACTCCATTTAGTTCACAATTTTCCGGCAAGTGCGTGAGGGCAAGTGGTATATTTGTGATCGAATTTGCTTTCTGTCGATCTTCCTTTTCCGACATCTGTTGTTATTTTCGGTCAAGATCTATTGGTGCTTGTTGAACAGACCACCATCTGAGAAGAACACACTTGTTTCTGGCTAAAAGAATCTGGTTATTGCCTCACTCTTTCTTCCAGCCTGCATCTGGAGTTCCATAATTTGTTATCTGGTGCTTCCATCTTTATTGTGCAGTTTGTGTCTGCTTGAAGTTTCGGCCAGGCATTGTGAAAGGACCAAGTTTTGTTCCATTGGTCAAAGATCTGCATTTGACTTTTATTACGTCCAGGTTCTATTTGCTCTCTTTTAAGAAGTTTCATTACTAAATTTGTTTTCGTTTGGAAAATATTTGTTGGGGATTAGTGTTGCTGCTACTTCAAAAGTAGAATGGCTAATAAGAGAATGAGGTTTGCTGCTACGGACAATTCATCTTTTGATAAAATGATTTCGATTCCCACACATGAGTTTGCAAAATTATCTCAATATCCAGAATCATTGAAGAAATTCACTTCAGCTACTGCATTTGTTAAGCCAGATGAAACATGTCTTATCACCTCTTCAAATAAATAGGGTAATTGATTCAGGTGCCACAAATCACATGACTTATTTTTCTAGCTTTCAATTCACACAAAAGCTCCCTCTCCAGTCACTGTAGCTGATGGGTCTACTTGTACTAGTGTTGGATTTGGAACTGTTAAGCCAACCTCTTCTATTACTCCGTCATCTATGTTAAGTCTACCAAAATTGGCTTTTAATTTGATCTATGTACCTTAATTGTTATATTTCATTCTTTCCCGATCATTGCTTGTTTCGTGATCTTAAGACAAATCAGGTTATTGGTAAAGGACATGTATCTGATGATCTTTACATCCTTGATGAGTGGGAGTCTCAATCTATTGTTTGCTCTAGTGTCGTGTCTCCATATGATGCACATTGTCGATTGGGACATCCTTCTCTACCTCTATTAAAGAAGTTGTGTCCTCAGTTTGAGAATATTTCTTCATTGGAATGTGAATCTTGTCGATTTGCAAAACATCATCGCACATCATTAAGTCCAAGGGTAAATAAGCGGGTTGGGTCAGCTTTTGAGTTAATTCATTCTGATGTTTGGGACCATGTCCTATCATTTCTAAAACTGGGCATAAGTACTTTATTACTTTTGTGGATGATTTCTCTCGGATGACTTGGATTTACTTTATGAAGAGTCGCTCAGAAGTGTTTACTCACTTTTGTGCTGAAGTCAAAAACTCAATTCAATGCTTCAGTACGTATTCTAAGAAGTGACAATGCTAAAGAATATGTGTCAGAAATATTCCAGTCATATATGAGACAACATGGCATTCTTCATCAATCTTCTTGTGTTGATACACCCACTCAAAATGGAGTTGCTAAGAGAAAGAATAGACATTTACTCGAGACAGCTCGAGCACTTATATTCCAAATGAAGGTTCCTAAACAATTTTGGGCTGACGCAGTCTCTACGGCTTGCTTTCTTATTAATCGCATGTCGTTTACTGTGCTTGCTGGTAATATGCCTTATAGTGTTCTCTTTCCAAACAAGTCACTTTTTCCGGTGGAACCTAAGGTATTTGGATGCACATGTTATGTTCGAGATGTTCGATCATTTGTTACCAAGTTGGATCCCAAGGCATTGAAGTGAGTTTTTCTAGGTTATTCTCGCCTCCAAAAGGGGTATCAGTGTTATTCTACTGAACTTGGCAGATATTTGGTGTCAATTGATGTGGCATTTTCAGAGTCTACACCATTCTTCTATGCACCTCCAATTTCTACAAATTAGGAGGAGGAAGATGAGTGGTTAGTCTATCAGGTTACCCGTGTTTTGATAGAAGAATCACATGTTGTCTCTCCATCTCCCAGTTCTGTTATTGAGGATCAATCAACTATTGTCCCATCAATTCCTACTCCATCGCGGTAGTAAGGCCACCAGTTGTTCAAGTTTACTCGAGGAGGCGAGAGACCAATGATACATGTCCTACAACAATCCATTGGCCACCAAATCCTGCTAAAAATCTTGACCTCCCTATTGCTCTTCGCAAAGGTACTCGTAGTTGCAAATCCACATATTCTATTGCTAATTTTGTTTCCTATGATGGTTTATCCTCTGCGTCTAGATCTTTGATTGCCTCTCTAGATTCTATTTCTGTACTCAAAACAGTGAAAGAGGCTTTGAATCATCCTGGATGGTCTGATGCAATGCTTGATGAAATACATGCCTTAGAGGAAAATCACACATGGGATTTGGTGGATTTACCCAAGGGAAAGAAATCAGTCGGATGTAAGTGGGTCTTCACAGTTAAAGTTAATCCAGATGGATCTATAGCAAGACTTAAGGCTAGACTTGTGGCTAAAGGATATGCTCATTATTCAGACACTTTCTCTCTGATTGCCAAACTTACTTCTGTTTGCCTATTCATTTCTCTAGCTGCTTCTTAGAATTGGCCTTTACATCAGTTAGATATTAAGAATGCATTCCTTCATGGTGATCTTCAAGAGGAAGTGTATATGGAGCAACCACCTGGTTTTGTTGCTCAGGGGGAGTATGGGAAAGTCTGTCATTTGAAAAAGTCCTTGTATGGCTTGAAACAAAGTCCCCGGGCTTGGTTTGGCAAGTTCAGTGACGTAGTTCAGGATTTTGGGCTGAAAATGAGCAAATGTGATCACTCAGTCTTCTACCGACAATCAACAACAAGCATTGTCCTCCTTGTTGTATATGTTGATGACATTGTTATCATAGGAAGTGATTATGCAGGGATTTCTTCCCTCAATCCTCCTTGTTGTATATGTTGATGACATTGTTATCACAGAAAGTGATTATGCAGGGATTTCTTCCCTCAAGTCTTTTATGCGTACTAGATTTCATACAAAGGACTTGGGCCAGTTGAAATACTTCTTGGGAGTAGAAGTGAACAGAAGCAAGAAGGGAATTTTTCTGTCTCAGAGGAAGTATATTCTTGACCTGCTTGCAAACACTGGAAAGTTGGCAGCTAAACCCTACAACACTCCAATGGTACCCAATGTAGACCTGCTTGCAAACACTGGAAAGTTGGCAGCTAAACCTTGCAACACTCTAATGGTACCCAATGTATATCTTATGAAAGATGATGGTGATCCTTTTAATGATCCAGAAAGATATAGAAGGTTGGTTGGGAAGTTAAACTACTTGACTGTGACTCGTCCAGATATGTAAGTGTTGTTAGTTTGTTCATGTCTGCACCTACAGTTAAACATTGGGAAGCTGTGGAGCATATTCTATATTACTTCCTTTTGATGATCCAGAAAGATATAGAAGGTTGGTTGGGAAGTTAAACTACTTGAATGTGACTCGTCTAGATATTGCTTTTGCGGTAAGTGTTGTTAGTCAGTTCATGTCCGCACCTACAGTTAAACATTGGGAAGCTGTGGAGCATATTCTATGTTACTTAAAAAGGAGCTCCTGGACTTGGCATATTGTATAACAATCATGGTCATACTCGTGTGGAATGTTTTGTAGATGCTGACTGCAATCATGGTCATACTCGTGTGGAGTGTTTTGTAGATGTTGACTGGGCTGGATCCAAAATTGATAGAAGATTTACAACAGGCTGGATCCAAAATTGATAGAAGATCTACAACAGGCTATTATGTCTTTGTTGGAGGGAATCTAGTATCATGGAGGAGTAAGAAGCAAAGTGTTGTATCTCGATCCAGTGCAGAATCCGAGTACAGAGCTATGTCGCAATCCACATGTGAAATTATGTGGATACATCATCTCTTAACTGAAATTGGGTTAAAGCATCATGCACCAGCTGTGATAATCAAGCTGCCTTGCATATTGCCTCAAATCCGGTGTATCATGAAAGAACTAAACATATTGAAGTTGATTGTCATTTTATTCTTGAGAAGATTCAAGAAAATCTGATTTCCACTGGCTATTTGATTGTCATTTTATTCGTGAGAAGATTCAGGAAAATCTTATTTCCACTGGCTACGTGAAGACAGGAGAGCAACTAGCTGATTTGTTGACAAAAAACGTTGAATGGAACTCGAGTTGATTACCTTTGTAACAAGCTGGGCATGATCAATATCTATGGTCCAGCTTGAGGGGAGTGTTAGAGAATCATAAAGTTATATGTTTCCTTGTATATAATATTCTAGTTGATTCTTAGGGATTTAAATATTTAGTTACCTTAGTCTTTTCTTTACCTGTATTAAAATCATTGTCTTCTTTGGATAATGCATATTGAAATTACTCCATACTTTCGTTTCAACAAGTACCAAAAGAAATTTCATAGTTCAATGTAAACCACTGATTGAGAAGATGCTTAGCAGAATTACTAGTTGGACTGCCAAGTTTTAATCCTATGTTGGAAGGGCTCAATTGGTCAAGAGTGTGCTGTTTGCCATTCATATCTTTTGGCTCAAATATTTGCCTTGACAAAAGAAATTATTCATATTATTGAAAGTATTTGCAAAAGGTTTATGTGGAAAAGAAATGTTGAAACATAAAAAAAAAAACATTAATTGCTTAGGAGAAACATACTGGCCAAAGGCATGTGGAGGAATGAACTTCCTGAATGTAGCTGTAATAGGAAAACTACTATGAAACATGTGCAAAAAGAAAGATAAAATTATGGATAGAGTGGATTCACAACTACTATGGACAAGAAGGAATATGGAGGCATATAAGCCAAACAAGCCTCTTGGGTGGTACAAAAAATACTAAAGGCACACAAAGATCTCCTGATTGCTGAATAAAATAAACAGGCACGACTGAATATTGAAAACTATTCTATCAAGGAGGTCTATAAGAAGATGAGGGGCAGAATGGATAGGGAAGAGTAGAGAAAGATGGTTTGGACAAATTATGGAGCTTTTAAAAGGCTCTTCATACTGTATCTTGCCTTGAACAGAAGATTATCAACAAAGGTTAGATTGAAAAATGGGGGATAGTTACTAGCTTGACATGTCCACTATGTCAAGAAAAGGATGAAGACCCTAACCACTTGTTCTTTGAATGCTCATTCACTGTTCAGAGGTGTGGAATAAAATTCTGACATAGCAAGGGATTCCGATACCTAACTTAAGATGACAGGATGAAGTACAATGGGCATTAGCACATATAAAGGGCAAAAACAATGTGGCACAAATATATAAAATGACATTAGCAGAAATCATATATTGCTTATGGATAGAACGAAACCACAGAATATTTCAGCACAAGCAGAAGCAGAAGCAATCATTAGAGAGATAATACAAAACGTGCACATAAGAGAAACCCAAATTGTCAAGTTAGGAAGTAGGATGCAACAACTTAATGTATATCACTAGTATCAGTGTTAGAAAGAAAGGATAGTTGATAGATTGTGATGCATAACAGAGTGTGGGATTACTTGTCCAAGCATGTAGATTTTTGATGTATTGTACTGCTCACTTTGGTAAATTAAATCTTACTTACCAAAAGAAAACTTATTCATACATTAATTTCTATAAAGATACAATATTTATTAGCTAGTTAGAAAATAAGTTATTCATATATAAAATTAATATGATGTTTCATTTGTAATTTAAAAATTTATATAGCTAGTACATATATAAGTTATGAAAAAAATGGTGTATCATGTGCATTGCTAATACCTACTTACTTTTATAAGATTAACACAATCTGAATATAAAACTTTCGGGATATAATGTAATTAGCCCCAATATTTGAGGATTTCTCTGTAAGTTATTAATAAAAAGGGAACTTGACCGTAATAAGCCTTAAATTAATCATCGTTAATAATAAATGAAGCAAGACAATGTCGCCTTAAATCAATCATCATTACTAAGAACTGAACTCAACCTATATGAATAATTGCCAAGTGTACCTCTCTTTTACTCACTCTATTAGAACTAGAATATAAGTAAGTTGTTCTTGATAGAAAATAGAATCAATCCAATCACTTCAAACACTATCGATTATTAGAAATGACAAAAGAAAAAAATTGTAGGCAACTTCAAAGAGTCCAACAAAATAAATCTAGTCCATTCTGCTATGAATGCTAAACTCACTTCCATTTTGAGTCAAGATTGAAATTTCACAACAACAAGGTTCATTGCAAGAATATACATTTGTGTGAAACATGCAACAATACATTCCGGAGTCTAAAGGACTTGCAATCCCATTGAAATAGGGAAAATCACACATAAATCTCTTGTATTTAGTTGAGGTACGATTCAAAAATTAAAATTCTGTTTGATTCTTTGTTTATAAGATTTTTTTGTGGGTGTTTTTTGAATCATTGATTTTGTTCTTTCATATATTTTCTTGTGTGTATGAATTATTTTTGATTCTGTCTTTTCAAAATTCTTTTTATGGGTGTTTTCTGAATCATTGGTTCTGTTCTTTCATAATATTTTTTTGTGTGTATCGATTAATTTTGATTCTGTTTTTTCAAAATTCTTTTTTGTGTATGTTTTCTGAATCATTTGTGTTCTTTTATAAAAACTTCTTGAGTGTATGAATTAATTTTGATTCTGTCTTTTAAATTTATTTTTGAATCATTGATTCTGTTCTTTCATAATATTTTCTTGTGTATATGAATTAATTTTGATTCTGTCTTTTCAAGAATTTTTTTGTAGGTGTTTTTTGAATCATTGATTTTGTTTTTTTCATAATATTTTCTTGTGTGTATAAATTAATTTTGATTTAGTCTTTTTAAGATTCTTTTTTTTGGGGGTGTTTTTTGAATCATTGATTTTATTTTTTCATAATATTTTTTGTGTGAATGAATTATCATATATGACTTCTATCGTTGATGGAGTAAAATAGACAATTTCACAATTTTTTTCTTTTACACTCAACAATCTATTTTTCAAGTTCTATTACAATAGTGCACCCTCGTTTCTGTCTATTCACTGCTAAAGAATGACGAACAAAAATACGATGGAAGGCGTCGCTCCAAAAAATGATGTCATTTGCGACATTGTCTACTGTTTTTTTAATTTTTTAATTCTTTTAAAAAAACTGTTGCTTTTTTGGCATATTTTAAAGATAAATATGTGTATATATATAATAATTATTTGGTTAATATATGTAAAGACTCCGTCTGTCACTTTTTATTAAAAAATTAATTATTTTTAAATTAAAAATTAAACACGTCGTCCGTCATTTGTAATTTATTTTATTTTAAAAAGCGAGTGTCTAGTCAAATATATTTAAAAAGCAAATGACAACATAGCTTAGTCCGTCAATTTTCGGTCAAAATGTTGGTGAAATATTTTTTAAAAAGTGGATAAAGAGACGATGTCCGTTACTTTTAAAAAAAATTATATTTGTGCACAAACAAAATTTTCACAATCTGTCTCTCTTCTCCTCTCTAATACCCTTACTTACCCGTATCGACCCCCGCCGCTGACCCCTGCCTTTCTACAAAAGTTGACCTCCGCCATCCCACCTCCCAGCAGTTTCTCCCAGAAGTCTCTAACTATCTCCTTTTTAAGATTAGAGTTTCAAATTTTTTTTTCAATTTGTGTAATTTTTTATTTATTCAGTAGTTTTTGAATTTATGTTATTTGATTGTTAGTTTGTATAATTGATTGTTAGTGAATGAATTTCTAATTTTGATTTTAGGGTTATAATTTGAATAGAGTATATTTTGAAGTGTTTTGAAATTAAAAGTTAGAACATAGAAGTAATTAGAAGTTAGAAATTAGTATGTTTGAAAGTTGAAGTTACAAAAATATTGGATTGTATATAAAATTAGATTACTTGAAATAGAAAAATAGGATAATGCTAAACTGCCAAGAAAATTTTAGCGAGAATTTGGCCAGAAATATGTAAAAGACTATAATAACATTTTCTTTCCAAAAACAAAATTACTGAATTTTAGGATCCATTTATTATTTTAACTACATGAACTCTTCGGGTCCCACTTATTAAAGAATTTAATTGTTTCATTCTTTATTTTTATTCTTTTTTTTTTCTTTACCAATTTACTATTCTTCTTCTTTTTATAATATAAAATTTTCTTTCATAGTCTCTTTATAAAAATAAAAAAATGGTGAAAATAACTAATTTTATTTTAAGCACTCAAATTGGTTAAACTTATCTTTAAAAAGACAAAAATAAAATGAAATTTATATTTTTAAAAAATAGAATATGGTTCTGTGAAGCTTCACTAGTGTAAAAAAATAATTTAAATCACAAAAAAAAATTATTTATGAGATTTAATTTCATATTCTATTTATATAAATAATTAATAAATTGGACACTTTTATAATACAACTAGATGGTGGTTGCCCGTGCGTGCACGGGCCCAATATATATTGGAGGACAGTAGTTACACATATTGATAAGGCGGCGAATAGCTAAAGATGGCTAATTTATACATACACATATTGTTTGTACATAAGATTCGTGATTGCACTATTTATACATCATTTACAAATGTTCACAGAAGCACATATCGGTAAAAGGTAATATAGTAATGCAGTCGATTACTTTGTTGGTGGTTGGCATGTCGTTCTTAATTACAGCTGCAATTGTGTGCACAAAATATCTGTAGAGATTCTATATTGAAATGGGAGAAGTGTTTTAAGTAGTGAATGTAGAGTGTAGTAATAAAAGAGTGTCACATACCTTGTTAAAGCATCAGTCATCAAGACGGTACAAAAGGGAAAAAATAGCAGGTCAAGGTCGACTTTGTTTCAAGAACTTCAGGACTATTGTACTAAAGCTTGAACAACTTCTCCACATCAATTGGATCCAGAATCATTAGTCAAAATAAACAGCAAGGGAACTATTTAAACACTTACCAAACTTAATAACGCAATTGGATTAGCTTATTTTAAGTGTTTTAAAGCTAAAATAGCCTTTAAGCACTTTTGGAGTGTGTGAATAAGTCAAAAAAGTGTTTAATAAGCACTTAGTTTTAAGCTAAAATGCTAAAAATATGCCACAAGTACTAACTTTTAAGATAAAATGCTAAAAATAAGCCACAAGTTAGTACTTCTAACTTATGACTTTTGCTTATAAGTCAGAAATGAAAAGTCAATCCAAACAGGCTCTACAACCAAACTCGAATTTAGATCATCCTCTAAGACACTAAACTATAGATATTAGTTAACTTTATTACTACTTCAAACATCTTTAATAACATTTTCTTTATCATATATTTACAACTACATTTTCCATGGCACAAAACAACAAAATTTGCAGAACAAAGTAAGAGGAGCACAAATGAATACAAGTAGTGAATAATTAAGAAGCAGGAACAATGTAGAATCTAAGGATGAAGAATTATCAAGAAAGTAGTAAACAAATAAAAAGCAGACAGAGTGAAGAAGCTAACCGAAAAAGAATTATCAGAAATGAAAGAGTGAAACTTACAGAAGTATAGTAACAGGATATCAAACAAACTTGAGAATAATAGTCACAACAACACAGATGGAAGCCTGTAAAGGAGAAGTAGAAATTATTAGCAGTTTAGTGTCAATAGTTGGAAAATATTTTAACAGTTGAAAGCTATATGTTGTATCACTTCAATCTTGATTGGTATAAGATTTTTTTGTTGAGTGAATTTTTTTTCTGTTGATAAAACAAAATGACCAATAGATTTCTATCAGAAATTGGTTTCAACTATTAGCTATGTTGGGTAAAGTTGTTCAACTCAATCAAATGTAGGAACTAATTAAGAGAACACTAATTTGAGTCGGTTGGTAATGTAGAGGTTATTATAGCTCTCAGAAACTTACCAGACTTGTAACGGGAGATAAACGATAATAGACAAATCAAGTGGAAGAACAGTAAATCAATTCACAGAATAGTGTCAAATACTGGGAGGTTTCGGTTGAAGCAATTGTTTATTTAGAGGAGAATATATAGTAAGTAGTTTGTGAGCATAGACATTTAGAAGTTGGGAGCCAGCAGCACATAACAACACCAATTAATAAAGTAGGCGATGCATTTTTATGTATACATAGCGGATACCCAAAAAAGAGTTGCGACTTGATCATCAAGGATGGAATGACTCCTCAAATCTTAGGCATGCATGTATCTTTTATATTGCGGAGGCAATCCAAAAGGAAAGTCAAGTGATTATTATAAGTAAAGTGAAGAGAAGTGGAAGTTTTGGATACATGCATAATAAAAACAACTAAAGAGACTGGCAGAGCGAAGTACTTAGTCAAATATAATTGTAAAAATAGAAATCGATACTTAAAAAAGTGTAGGAAGTTGAAGACACTTGTGAACAGTAATCACAAGTACACGTGCAGAAACCTGAAAGAGGGCAATCAAAGTTGGTAGCTCAGTTTAGATAGATACAGAAGACTTTAACAACATAAATATGAAGACAGTGCCAGTTGTATGAAGAAGGTAAAGTAGTGCACTTTGTTCCAACTATGTGATGCATTTCCCTTTTTAGTTTTTTTTTTGTTTGTAAAAAACATTATCATCTTTTTATACTCAATAATGATTTAATTTTAAAGTTTCTCTTTAATCCTAAGAAAATGATTTATAGTCTAAGGTTTTTATTAGACCACATAGTTTGGAAGCCTTTCTTATTTAAAGTCGGCACCAAAACTACTTTGTAAAATGGAGGAGGCATCTGTTAGCAATCCATTGTAGAATATAAGTAAAAGTTGCTTTGTTGACGAAATCAAAATTTGTTAACATGCATCAATACTGAATTGAGAAGGTATAAGTAACAATGAAGAGTCAATATTATGTGGAGAAGAACTTTTGTTCTTGAGAGAAATCAAAATTCTAGAGAATGTTTGCTATCCTTTTGGAGTTTTATCAACCTCGGAGTAAGCATGCTGACGTTTTGCTTTTAATTTCGATTAAGAGACTTGTAGATACAATTTCTTGTTTTTTCTCTATTTAATAAGCTCAAAATAATGTTATATTGTGAAACACATCAGTTTTTTCATACTGTGAAACCCACAAGAAAATAATAGAAAAAATTGGGGATAAACCTCATCCGAATCAGACCACACAAAAACTGGGCAAAATTGTGAATCATACAAAGAAAGTCTTGATTTTCTAATGGTGACATTTTTGCAACATCTGGTGTGCATTACAAATATCAATGTTACAAATCTCACACCCCTTTCTGCGTGTGTCTCTAAAAAATCGTATCCTCTCACTCCATGTTCTTCGTAAACCACATGAATTAGCAAATTGTATCTTATTTCCACTTCAATTTTTCAGTTTAGACATAACAAAAAACTTGGGGAAAAAATCAAACCTTTTACGCTAAATCATCATGTTGAAGAAAGTACTTCCTCAGTCTCAATTTAGGGCTGTTCCCAAATTCGTAATCCATTAAATTATTCAATTTTGAACTTTAACATTTAGTCAAATCAGATACACTACTCTCTAATTTCGATCAAATAACATCATTTGACGATAAAGAGTTAATAATCAGAAATAAATAGATAGGTGGTGGGAAAATTGAAGAGAAATACCATGGAATTGGATGGTTGTTTATTGGGAGCAGAAAGATAACGAAGGATGAACCACTTGCTTACCCATAGAACTGCAGAGAGTAAAAATATAAGAAGATTGAGAAAGATGGTGTTAAAAGTGTTGAGATGATGATATTGTGATCAGTGTGATGTGTTTGTCCAGTCTCAGCAGAAATAGCCACGTTGTGTTTGGATATGTGAAAAGTCCACAATGCCCTCAATTTGAACTTAAATGACATCAAGCTAACATGTTGATACCTCTCACATTTCTAATATAATAGAAAATTCAATTTTAAATAAACTCTTTATATTTTAAAATCAAATAATTACATTTCATAAACAAATAAAATTTTACATTTACACATTTTATGAAATTTATCTATAATTGAATAAATGTATTAAAATATAATTATTAAACGATAAATTATTGAGATAACGACAACTTAATACCTGATAAATGTCGATAATTATAGAAACTTATATAAATAATTGAACTCAACTTATTTAATAATTGTCAAATATACCTCTCTTATACTCTACTATATTAGAACTAGAATATAAATAAGTTATTTTTATTTTTGATAGATATTACAATCAATCCAATCACTTCAAACACTAACGATTATAAAAAATGACAAGAAAAATTTCATAGGCAACTTCAAAGAGCCCAATAAAATAAATTCAGTCCATTCTGCTATGAATGCTAAACTCACTTTTATTTTGAGTCAGGATTGAAATTTCACAATAATAAGATTCATTGCAAGAATATGCATTTGTGCGAAACATACAATAATACATTTCAGGAGTTTAAAGAACCTGCAATCGCAAGGACCTACGATCCCATCAAGATGGGGAAAATGCCCCATAAATCTCTTGTATTCATTTGAGGTATGATTCAAAAATTAAAGTTTTGTTTGATTCTGTTTTTTCAAGATTTTTTTTTGGATGTTTTTTGAATCATTGATTCTGTTCTTTTATAATATTTTCTTGTATATGAATTAATTTTAATTCTGTCTTTTTAAGATTCTTTTTATGGGTGTTTTCTAACTCATTGATTCAGTTATTGCATTATATTTTCTTCTATGTATGAATTAATTTTGATTGTCTTTTCAAGATTCTTTTTTGTGTGTGTTTTTTGAATTATTGATTTTATTTTTTTAATAATATTTTCTTGTGTGTATGAATTAATTTTGATTCTGTCTTTTTAAGATTTTTTTTGTGGATGCTTTTGAATTAATTGATTCTGTTCTTTCGTAATATTTTTATGTATGTGTGAATTATCCTATAACTACTATCGTTGCAGGAGTAAAATCGACAATTTCATTGTTTTTTCTCTTACCCTCAAAAATTTATTTTTTAAGTTCTAATACAATAGAACCAGTGACTGATTCAGAAATTTTATTTCATGGGTGCTCAATTATTTTTAATTTGAGAATTGCTATATAAAGTGGGTGCTTAGCTAATAAATTTGAATGAATTATTAGATATTACAAACAAATATTAGTGTTTATTGCAAAAAGCAATGGGTGCTTAAGTACCCATAATCCATAACATACATCCGCCACTGAATAGAACACCCTTGTTTCTATCTATTCACTATTAAATTATGACGAACAAAAAAGCGATGGAAGGCGTCGCTCCAAAAAACGATATCATTTGTGACATTGTTTGTAGTTTTTTTTAATATTTTTTCAAAAAGCGTCGCACGTCATCTCTTAGTATGTTACTTTTTTTGAAGGTTTTTTGCACTATATATATAATTCATAATTATTTATTTAATATATGTAGAGACGCCGTTCGTCACTTTTTTATTAAAAATAATTATTTTTAAATTAAAAATTAATCACGCCGTCCGTCATTTTTAATTAATTTTATTTGTATTAATTATTTCTCAAAAAAAAAAACGACGGAGAACATCTCTTAGGCCATCGCTACTTGGTCAAATGTCCGATAAAAAACATTTTTAAAAAGTGAAGGACAATGTTCTTAGTCCATCGTTTTTTATCAAAATACTGGTAAAATATTTTTTAAAAAGCAGACAAAGAGACCATGTTTCTCGCTTTTTTAAATTTTATTTGTAAGTAGACGGGATTTTCACAATCTATCTTTCTCTCTCTTCTCCTCTCTCCCTTCTTTCTAATAACCTTACCTACCCGCATCGAACCCCGCCGCCAACTCCTGCCAACATTTGACCCCTGCCTCCCTGCAACATTTGACCCCCGCCGCCCCACCTCCCAGCAGTCTCTCCCAACAGTTTCTAACTATTTTCTTTTTAAGGTTAGAGTTTCAATTTTATTTTTTTTCAATTTGTGAATTTTTGATTTGTTAGTTAGTTAGTTTATTGTATTTAGTTTGTTGATTTTATGCTATTTGATTGTTAGTTTGTATATTTGATTGTTAGTTAGTGAATGAATTTCTAATTTTACTTTTAGAACTTTAATTTGAATTGAAGTTTTTTGAATTTGATTGTGAATTGGGGTTTTTGAGTTGATATTGAAGTGTTTTGAAGTTAGAAGTTAGAATTGACAAATAATTAGAAGTTAGAAGTAAGATTATTTGAATTTTTAAACTTTGAAATTCTTGAATTTAGTATGTTTGAAAGTTGAAGTTAGAAAAATATTGAATTGTATATGAAAGTTAGATTACTTGAATTTTTGAACTTAGAAATTCCTGAATTTAGTATGTTTGAAAGTTGAAATTAAATTACTTTTATTCTTAAACTTAGAAATTTTGAATTCGAAATTTATATAGAACTAATTTTAAAAATTAGATATGAACTTGAATTTTAGGATTTTTGAACTTTAGGTTGTCAACTTTAGAAAATTTGAATAGTTGAATTTATGAACTTATTAGGTTGTGAACTGTAGAAATCTTGACAAAATGTAGACTTTAGCAACTAATTAATTAAGCTTGAACTTGATTTGAACTTTAAATTACTTGAAATCTTATTAACCTTGATATATTAGAACTTAATTTATAATAACTTGAACTCAATTAGGAATATGAACTTGAAATCCTAAACTTAATTAGTGTTTATGAATTAATTAAGCTTGAAATGTAGTTTTTATAAACTAAGTATGAGTAATTATAAATATATATTAACAATATAAATTAGTTTAATGTAGTTAAATTATTATTAAATTTACTTTATAATTGAATATCTATATATTTTAGTAGATGGATCATCGTTTCTGGATGTATAATATGCATTATATATGAAACTGGTGGCGGTTTGTGTAGACACGTAATTTTTGATCGAACCTTTACATCATTTTTAGAGCTTAAATATTTTTATAAATCTAAATTAAATATTTTGACTTTTATCTTATTTTATTAAATTTATTTTAAAATATTTGAAATCAACAAAAATAGAATCACTTTTTACAGTAAGTATTATTTTTAATTGCTTAAAAAAAATGAAAAGTTACAAAAAATATATATTTTCTTTTAATTTAGATTTAATAAATAAACTAGTATTTCTTAATTATATTTTTTAATTAGCCATTTAGTATTTTTTATTAGTTCAAAATAATTAATATTTTTATTATTATAATTTTGTATATATTTAATTTATAAAAAAACACCCATTATCCTCACCCCACTTACCCTTCCATATCCCACAACTCCCACACACTCACCCCTATACTACCCCCCACTCACACGACACCACTACCCATCAGCAACACAACACACACATATACTACTACTACTACACTGCAATTGACGAGAAAAGGAAAAAAAGAAAGAGCAACACTAAAAAACCCACGACCAAAACGCAGCAAATAAAAAAAACTTACACATTCTTTTTATTCTTCTTTCAAAAATCCATCAATACATTCACATATTTTCTTCTTTTTTGATTACTACTTTATCTAAACACACTCAGACGTACAGAGACAAAAAACTCAAAAAAATCTCACACTACCAAAATCCAACACCACACACCAAACAAAAGATTAGTGGGTTTTGTAATCGAGTTTCAGTCAAGATTTTGCGGTACATATTCTCTTTACTTAAGGTTAAACATTACCTTATCTCTTTGCTTTATTTATGGAATTTGATGTAACTTTATGATAAGTTTTCTTATATTTTGTTACATTCATAATTTGACTGAAATGAATATTGACATCTTGATTTATATTTATGTTATTTTTAGTGCAAATACCTAAAAGATGAATAAAATCCTATTATTATGGTAGAATTTTTTGTTGTTTAATTTTGTCGTTCCTATGCCATCGTTTTTATAGCATTGTCATAGCTTAATGTTGATGTCAATTGGCTATTTTAATTTACGTGTTATTGAAATGAGTCATTACCCAATAAACAAACAAATGTGTTATGTTGTTAAACTTGAATTTACTCCATTTTGAATTAGTTTAATCATTTGACATGATGATTAATTTAATTAAAAGTATCATCAATTAATATAATAATGAAATGACAAGATTAGTTATCTAGAATTCAGAAAAAATAAGAGCAAGTACTTTTAATACTAGATGAGGTTTATGCACATTAAAAATATTTGTTTTTGATTAAGAATGTGGTTGCGCATCTTTTTTGAGACATTGAAAAAAACTCAAGGATGCGGTGACACACCTTGTCCAAAAATATAATAACTTTCATTAATTTAAAATAAAATCACTTATAGATAAAATTAGGTGATGCACTCGAGAAAAAAAATCAGTTATGCTCTTAAGCTATTTATATGTCAAAAGTCGAGAATGCAGTTATGTATCTGATTTGAGACCAAATAAAAGTTCAACAATAAAAATGCGAACAAGTCATGGCCTGAAAATAATATATTCAAAAATATTTAAAGTAAGTATAAGTCAATAAAAGTGACCGTGCTAGAACCATGGGACTCGAGGGATGCCTAATACCTTCCCCTCGGTCAACATAATTCCTTACCCGAATTTCTAGTTCGCAGACCATATAAAGAGTCATTTTCTTTTTATTAGGGATTAAACAAAAAGGTGACTTGGAACACCATAACTCGATTCCAAGTGGCGACTCTGAAAAATAAATAAAATAATCCCTAAATCAATATTATCACTTAAATTGGAAAAATCCTTCCGCGTGGTGGAAAAGAGGTGCTTGAGTTTATTGATAGTGTTAGAGGTTTTATTGAACAT